ATAATAATGCTCAATATAGGAGAAACAAACAAAGCAGGACAGTTGATAGGCCCACTTCCTTGGATAAATGAGGAGGAAGATTGGGGTATTCCCAGACTTTTTAACAAACCAGAATCTTCTGTTCTGCTAACAATGCTGTAGTGAGCTCTTTAGATTAAGATATATGCATACAGCTGAATAGGAATACAGAGTAGCTAAATGTCAAAGGCTTATCTATTAAAAAACACATCAAAGTTTACAGTTGACAACTAATTGCTTAAAATGAAATCCTGTAGATTAAATAGTACATAGAAATTTACCTAATTATAATTCCAACCTCTTTGTGCCAATGTTAAATTCATTGATAATAGCCATCGCTAGGTAGTGATGTCCATCCTTGCTAAAATGGCCAGCATTTGTGAGTGTGTAGCATGGGTCAGACACTGTTCTAATAAACTCTTCCCCTTGCTTAACTCATTTAATCCTGACAATCTTATGAAGACATTTACAGAGGTGAGAATCTGAGTGCTGGAAATGGTCAGTAACTAGCATGGGGACTGGCAGCTCATAAAAGACTGAGCTGAGTTTTGAACTATTTTTTTAAAAACTGGATTTGTCCCTTAGACATCTAGGATTGCATTTACCTCTGTTCCTCAAGTCGCTGGACTTGGGATTCCCACTTTTCTGCAGTCTGTCTCTCTTGCCCTCTCCCTCAAGCATGTACGTGGTACCCGAGGGTACCAGTTGATGCCCCCAGGCTCCGACCTATCCCCTGGGACTGCCATATCTTGGGCAATAGTGGGTGCAGGAAGTAGGAGCTCGGGGACTTGGAACTGTGGTGTCCTTGGGGCTGGGAAAGGGAGCAGAGGCTCAGGGGAGCTCAGCCCTGGGACTGTGAGCTGGCCTTAAAGGGTCACCACACACTGCTTGGGCTGGCTTACCAGAGCTGGGGGCACTGAGAGAGGGCAGTGAGAAGGTTCTCCTGTGCCACCTGCTCCCCACGCTGCTCTCCAAACCGAATCTTTCCTGCCCAGCCCAGGGGGTAACTTCCTTCAAGCCACTCATTTGGGCCACTCACGCTGCACCTCTGAGAGTGGTACACAGAGTGTGAATCAAGGTTGGGCCTCTCTGGGGATGTGTTGTTGTAGTTTCTTGTTTTTCTTTTTTGTTTTGTTTGTTTTTTTGTTTTAGGAGTATATGTGATTTAGATGACAGGAATACCAGGAGGAAATAGTAATGGGTTGTCACTCTGATGTGCCCTCACATTTCTTGATGACACATTTTGTTTTTAAGAGTTGAATACTAATTAGGATGCTTAGTCACATAAATTATCCTGCTCTTTAGTTTGCATTCAGCTCCTAGCATGAGGATTTCGCTTTGTTGTCTCATCATTTTTGTTATCTTGGGGGTCTAGCGCAGCACATGCCAATCCATCAATTGTTCAGTGGAAGTAGGGACTCCTGTGAAAGGAACATTTTCATTCTGAAGGTAAAGCTTTGCTCCTCTAATCACATGTTAGCTTGTGTGCTTTCACCTAATGAGGAAGAGGCTTTATTAACCAGCTTCCTCTACCCCGCAGCTGCAGCCAGTTTATCTGTAGGACCCCAGGGACCTGTGGGCTCTGAGGGGCTGCTGTGGCCTTGCGGGTGGGTCTCTCTGTCCCTTTATTTCCTTCCTCTCCTCTCCCTGTCTCTGAGTCTTCATGTCCTCATTTGTAAAGGGTCACCAGTGATTTCATATGGCTCTGACGGGGATTACACAATGAGCTCTGGCTGCCAGGCAAAGCTCTTGAGTTCAGAGTTTTTTCCTCTTGTGCCCTTGCTGGCAGCTGTTGAACATGCTGGAACAAACCATCCTACATGTGCATCGAAGCAGCAGCGGAGTTCTGGTGTCTGACGCCGCTGCACCCATGGGTCCCACCTGCCGAGATTACAGGGTATTCCTGTCTGGTGCTTGCCTGTCTTTCCCTCTACAGTTATGCCAACCCTTGGCCACGTGGAAAGTTCTCAGCATCTCTTCCCGCTGAGAGCTGGTTTTGTTTTCAGTTGTATGGAACACACCCCTCTGCCCAAACCAAAGCTAAAAAACTGAATCTACAGCATGTTACCAGCCTCCAAGGGAAAAGTGCTGGAAGGAGATATGCCAGAATGAATGCAAGTGGTGGATTTTTGTTTGTTACTTTTTTCCGCTTTCCAAATGTTCTGTTGCAACATGATTACATTATATTGCCAAAATGATGGAAAAGTAACCAAGCAGGACAGCTGAGATTTAGCCCTCCCACCCAACTTACTCCATTCTGACTCTGATGAAACCGCCTCCAGGGCTAAGCTGACCATCTGGGCTGTTGATTCCATGTCCTGCTGATTCTCAGGGTCTCGCATTGTCATTAGCTGTCTCTACCCTCCACATTCGGCTCTCACTCCTTTTTGTCTAGTTTCCTCCATATATAAATCTGTTTAAGTCCTCTCTGCATCTTAGCAGAACAGACAAATCTCCTCCAAGGTCCATCTGGGCCACTCTCTGACTTAGACCACACCTTCCTTTCCCTCACACGCAGAGCTTGTGAAAGAGCAGTCTGAGGCTCTGGACCGCGTGACAGCCGCCCCCACTGCAGCCCGGCTCCCTGCTTCACCCCACGCTTAGGTTGCTCTTGCCCACGTCTCCAGTGATGCAGTGGTCTCATTTCAGCCTTCCTTGTTGGATTTCTTTGCCATTCGACACCGCTGTCCACTTGCTCCTTGAAACTGTTTCCCTTAGTTCTCTATCGCAGAGTTGTAGAGCTGTTCCTACAGTTTATAGCATGTACTGCAGGCTGCGTACCATGTCCACTTGTACAGAGTGCCTGTGATCCTTATTCTAGGTGGAAGGGGGCAGCTCATGAGAAAGCGAAGGTATCTGGCCCACAGAGTTTTGGAATGTTGTGTGTGATCAAACAGCTATTTTCAGAACCCAACCCCCCAGCTTTATCCCATTGTAGCATTTGTCTTTTCTGGAGTTCCTCTTGCCCATGGAGCTGCTCTTGATTTCCTCTGTGGCCTCTCCTTTTCTTGTCAGCCCATTAACTTTGGTGCTCTCACAATGGGCCTTCCTGTCTCTGTCATGAATTCAGCTACAGGCTACAAAGCCCTCAGCTCAGCAGTCCTGTAGCCTATGGCCCACACACCAGGCAGCAGTGTGAAGCATTTCTACACGATCGTCCTATAGGCCCTTTGCAGTCAACATGTCCACAGCGGAGACCCCTGAGATGCCTCATATTTCAGATCCCAGCCCTCTCCGGGTGTCTCATGCTAGTCCTGCCTAGGGTCCTTATCACATTTATTGTGCTGTGGAGCAAAGCTTATGATGGCTTGCTAGGCCGCTTGCAATTATCCTTCTGAGCTCTTCTCTCACAACTGTGTTCACCCTGTTTAAACTATCTTGCTTCTCACCGTAAGAATGATCATCATGATATACAGCTCCCATATCTGAACTGGAACAAGATCCTTCAGTGGCCTCTGAGCTGCCTTTCATGCTGTCTTGTGATCTCGGTATCTTAACCTTTTGTCTCTGTGTCCCACCATCTGCTAGCAGCGTGATTCCTCACTGCTTGAACTGCTTCGACTCCTCAAGCCTGTAATCTCCTGTTTCTGTGCAAGTGTTCCTCTGTGCTGGTCCACTGGGCAGGTCCCATCTCATTTGCTGAAGCTCAGTTCAAGTGTTGCCACCATGAAAAGTCCTCCCTGATTTCTTCCTGGAGGACGCTTGGGTGCCTTTTCCCCAATATTCTCTCTGTACTTTGTACAGTTATTATATTGAATTCTAGTTTTCTATTAACCTGTGTGTTTCTCTTTTAGGTTGTAAGGTTCATGGGGCAGGTCCTGTGACTTTTTTTTTTTGGCTGTGAAACATAATATACTCAGAAGTACCCTAATCAAAATTTAGAGATAAGGAATAAATATAAAGGAAACACTTGCAGCTTGTTGGTGGGGTGCTGGAGTGCATAGCCAGATTTTCATGGACAGAGTGACCTATAAGCAAGAGATATTTGTTTCTTATAGTGCTGGAGGCTGGGAATCCAAGATCAAAGGATGGCTGACCAGGTGTCTGGGGATGGGCTGCTGCTCACAGAGGGCCCCTTCCATGTCCTTGGATGGCAGAGGAGAGAGAGCTCTCTGACCTTGTTTATTGGGGCAACCATCCCATTCATGCGGCCTCCACCTTTGTGATTGTTGGGGGCCCTAATTTCCTAGTACTACGACATCAGGGTGAGAATTTTAACATACGAATATGGGGAGGAGGAGACACACATTCAGACCATGGTAGCAACAATTACCAGATTATGGACTGGAATACTTTCAGTACCAAAGGTGTCTTATCTGACACCTCTCCTCTTACTGCTCCTTCCTGGCAGTTACCTCCTGTGTTTTCTTTAGAGCTAAGATGCCTTCTTAAACATTATAGTTTAGTTTTACAGGTTCTTGAATTTAACGCAAGTGTAAGCATATTATGTGTATTCTGTTGCATTTTATTTCCTGTATTCAACATGCTTCATCCCATTCGCATACTTGTATTTCGTTACCCTGCATATTGCTGTGTGATAGTACCCTGGTATATGAATACACTACACATAATGTGGCTGTCACTGGACATTTGGATTATTTACAGTTTGGAGCTCTTATGATGCTTCACACATCTTGTACACCTCCTTGGGTACCTACGTGCGTGCGTTTCTTCAGGGTATAGATCCAGGAATGAAATTGCCTGTTACAGGGTGTGTATATCTTCAACACTACCAGATCACAAGCTCACTTTTAATAGGTTGTCTTTGTTTTATTGCTTTGGAAAAATTTTTTTAATATCATCTAGATATAAATCTTTTGTTAATTGTATGTGTTCAAAATACTATAAGATCACCCACCGAAGGCGTATTGATTACAGTATTTTTTTATTCTTAGTACTAATGAGGAAGTAGAAACAGATTAGAAAAGATAAATAACAATCTTATACCAGTTCAAATAAACCCTCTCCTCTCTTCTCTCCAGGTGTTATTATCGTCCCCAGTGCTGGTGTTGGTATTGTCTTGGGAGGCTACATTATAAAAAAATTGAAACTTGGTGCAAGAGAATCTGCAAAGCTAGCAATGATCTGCAGTGGTGTGTCCTTACTGTGTTTTTCAACCTTGTTCATTGTTGGATGTGAGAGTATTAATCTAGGGGGCATAAACATCCCATATACAACAGGGTAAGTACTCCGAAGGCCACCTGTGCCAGCCTGTGGATGTGCAAAGCGCTGTGTGTACATGTACCTGGGTCAGAGCCTGTGTGTACTGTGTGTATGTACCCAGGTCAGACTCTGTGTACCTCTGTGTATGTAGCACCTGGCCCAGGCTCTGCCCTCCCTCCAGCCATCCTCTGTGTGGTGCTGTTTCTAAGTGAGCCTGCACTCCTGAGGGCAGAGGCCACAGTCTTGGCCTGACCTCTGTCTCTTTCCATCTTTCCAGAGTAACCTCCATAGCATTTTGATTACAGAAGACAAGGGGGAAAAAAGCTCATGGATTAATGGAAATGGTTGTTTTTTTAACATATTTTGAATGAGTATTATGTTCATGTAGCTTAAAAAAGCATTAAATTCAATGAAAATGCAATGTGCAGTCAAAAGCCTTGATGTCTTCCATCCCTACTTTCCACTTCTCCAACCAAAGACAAATCGTGTTAACGTTTACCCACTTTTATTTTTGGTGTATTGTGTATCCTGCTAGGGCTTCTTTATACATAAAACCGAGTGCATGTTTCCAGTTTTCCATTTCATATTCAATGCAGAGTATTTTACCAGACTTTTCTGGGCTTTGTTCTTATGTAATAATATAGCTCGGAGATCTTTGTGTGCCAGTAATAAGAATACAAAGCACAGCTACCACTTATGCTGACCCTACTGTCTGCCAAGTATTCTTTTTTTTGTCTTTTTGCTTTTTATCGGTACCAGGGATCAAACTCACGACTGCCTGCTTGCAAGGCAGGCGCTTATGCCGCTGAGCTAAATCCCCAGCCCCTCTGCCAAGTATTCTTATTTACATAAATTAACCTGGAAATCCTCACAACAAGCCCATCAGGTAGGTGCTACCAGTGACCTGCCTGTACAGGTGACAAGCCTGAGGTACAGACCATAGCTTAGTTTCAGCATTCAGCAATGCCAGTGTCCCTGAAGGACTTTCCCTCTCTTTCCCTTTCTGCAGACTAGTGGAGCCCACTCTTTACTCTTGATCGCGCTATTTCTTTTGTTCTCTACAGAGCGTGTGTTATGTTTAAACTAGCTTGTGGAAGTGTTTGCTTTGCTCTTGACTTGTGCTTTAACTAGGAACCCCTTGAGACCAGTGTAGCTGTCTGCATAATAGTTATGTCCATGGCACCACAGACTATGCATGGCATTGGCCGTGTGAATGATTGGTTGATGGGTGGATGGTTGGATGATGGATGGGGAGATGTCTTCCCCACACTTTGTTTATCCACAACTCATTTGTGAGTCCTTTTAATTCAGCATGCATTTTTTAAACCTTAGGAAAGTTTTCTTCTATTAAGGCATTACTCTGTTTTACCTGTTCATTTTCCCTGTGTTCTCCAGGACTCCTGCTAATCAGATGTTGGAACTTATGAACTTTGTGTGTTTTATTCTCTGACATTTCATACTTTCTCTTTTAAAATTTAATTTTACTTTATTAGTACATGTTTGTAATTCATGCGGTTTATAATCATCACGGGGAGTGGTTGCATGCACATATTGCAGTTTATTTTCTTTCCCCTTCCCCCTTCTCCCCACTCCTCCTCCTCGTCTGGTTCCCCAATCACCTTTTAAATGCCTGTTGATACTATTCGTCTTAGCACATGTTCTGGTTTACAGTCTTTACACTGATTATGGTTACTAGGGTCTTGCACATGGGAAATCCCTACTCCCCTCATTCCCCCTCCCTCCCCTTCCCTCTCTCCTGTCCCCTTGGATCATTTCCCTGGTGTACAAAATCTGTCCCCCTTGTCCCTTTCTGTTGTCTTTTATCATTTTCTTTGTTTGTCCTTTGCCTCATTCAAACTTGTGTGTCTTGTTTGTTTCACTCAACATTATGTTTTCCAGGTGTATCCTTTTTCCTGCAGATGCTTCAGGTTTGTTATGCTTTATAGCTGAGTAGCATTCCATTATATGTAGATATTGTACCACCTTTTGTTTATCCAGTCATCTGCTGATGGGTATACGGGCTGCTTTTAGGATGCAGCTGTTAGGAATTGTGCTGCTATAAACATTGGTCTGTAAGTATCATGATCGTATGGTGACTTTAACTGTCTGGGGAAGATACCTAGCAGGTTATGCTAGTCATGCATACATGCTACATGCGGGTCGCGTAGAATTTCTAATTTCAATTCTCAGAGAAATCTCCACACTGATTTCCATAATGGTTGTACTAGTTTACATTCCAACCATTAATATAGGAGAGTTCCTTTTTCACCACAGCCTTGTCAGCATTTATTATTGTTTGATTTTCTAATGAATGCCATTCTTTCTGGAGTAAGATGGAATCTTACTGTTGTTTTAATTTGCATTTCTGTAATGGAAAGAGCTGATTATTGTTTTGTAATTTGTTGCCTATCTGTATTTCTTTCTCTGTGAAGGGTCTGCTCATTTCTCTAGCCTATGTTTTGACTGGGTCTTTGGTGTTAGTTGGTTTAATTTTTTTTGAGCTCTTCATACGTTCTAGATATTAGTCCTCTGTCTGATGTGTAGCTGGCAAACATTTTTTTTTTCCATTCCGTAGCTGTGTCTTCCTTGATTGAATCTTTTGCTAGGAGAGCTTTTTTCAAACCTCATTTTTTATTCTTTGTATAAGTTTTTATTTTGAGGATAATTTTTCTTTGTTGACTTTTGATAGTATCCTGGTGTTGTTTTAGAGAGTGTGATTTTCTCAAGTCTTTCTATGTATATGTTTAGAATTTTTTGGTTTTTTTTATGTCTTGCATCTTATCATTTGGCTTTATGGGTCAACTTTTTACTTATGTATTTCTGTACTTCGCAGGTTGACAGCACTCAGTCTAACATCTCTCAGGGCAAATCTTTCTCCTCCTCCATCCCAGATATGAAGGCGCCTGATTTTGATTTGTCAACACTGGAGTAGAGGCTTAGCTTTGTTAATCTTTTCTTGTGTTATTAGTTTATTTATTTATTTTAAATTAATTTTATTGGTACATTTTATATATACATACTGATAACATTCATCATATACAGTTTGTACCTGTATGTGATATATCTTGATTCTTCTTTTTGTCCCTAATCCCTTCCCTTTCTTCAAAGCCTCTTCTTCTCCTCATTTATCATTTACCAAAGTTTTGTTTCCATTTTTCTTTATCTTCTCTTTTTTTCTTTCCCCTTCTACCCCTACCCCCAGTTCCCTTCCCCATTTGAACATTTTCTTTCTATTTCACAATCTGTTGTGCATTTTGGTCCTTATGTGTTTTGGTTTCTCACACCAGAAAAAATGTGATATTTGAATATGTGTGTCCAGTTTATTTCAGCTCAAAGTATGGTCTCAGTATGTATCCATTTCCTAGAAATGGCTCAAGTTTATCCCTCTTTATGGTAGAGTACTACTCCATTGTAAGTGCCCACAGTCACGCATGTTCAGAGTTAGAAGCTGATTGGATCATGAGGACTCTTATCTATCTATCAGTGGAGTCATCCACAGACGAGATCGTCATTTGGTGATCTAGGGCCTAGGAGCAGGGAGTGTCTCATGGGAGTGTGACCCGGGGACTATGTCTTCCCGGCCCTTTCCTCTCTGGTTCTCTTTTCCTTTTTCTGCTTCCTGCCTGCCATGAGGTGAGCTGCTTTCCTCCACCTCAGCCTCCTGCTACACTTTTCTACGTCACCTCAGGCCACAGTGGCTCAGAGGTGGTTACCTCTGAAACTAAGCCAAGGTGAACCTTTCTTCCGTTAGTTATTTATGTCAGGTGCTTTCTGCAGCAATGCAAAGCCAGCTAACACGCTCGCTCATGATTTTTAAAGCTTTTGCTTAGCGCCACACCTGTCCTGCTGGTCTTGAACCAATGGCTTCAGACTTTCCTAGCACTACTGGGAGAAAGTCATAGAATTGTGCTTATTGGCTCCATTACAAATATATGGTTTCCAGTCTGAGCAGGTGCTCATCTGTGTTGAGCAATCCGTTCACTGAGCCCTAGTCAGGGTCCTCCCCAGGGCTCATGATGATGGTTATATTTTAATCTTTTTTTTTCTTTTTAGTCCTTTTCCTCAATTCCTTTTGTTTCTTAGTGGACAGCCAATTACATGTTAGTGAGAAAATGGAGTTACCAAGAATGAGCCCTCCAAATTTTTCTTTTCTTTCCCTTTGAACTTTTTCTCTAAGACTACAGTATTTTCTTTCTTTCTTTTTTTTTGTCTTTTTCATTTTTATCGGTACCAGGGATCGAACTCACAACCGCCTGCTTGCAAGGCAGGTGCTTACACCGCCAAGCTAAATCCCAGCCCCAAGACTACAGTATTTTCAAATGCAAGTATTGGCTCCATTGTTTTCTAGCTGTGGGACCAAGCCAAAGAAAATCACCTAATATTTTTGTGAATTGATTTTCACATATATAAATTGATGATAATATCAATCTCTCCTAATTACAAACATAATAAATGCATGTGGCTGAAAAAATATAGCAATATAGAAGGGTTAAAAAAGAGGTCACTGTCTCTTCACCTTCATCTCTAGTTTAAAGCGATTAGATAGTTCACATGCTGTAGTTTTGATAATAAACATCAAGGGAAAGTTTTCATATCTCCTTCTGAGCAATTCAGTGCTTAGAGTGTGCTGATAAAAGTCACTCTCCTTTGTGTTTCTCTTCTCTTCTCTGGTGATCCTGTTCAGCAACTGTTATTTCCTTTAAGACGTAAGTGAGGATCAGGAATCAACCTCTGCTCAGGGGTGTGGCGCATATCATGCTGCTGATCCCAGTAAGAACTTGCTGTAAACACAGATCTTAATATCTGAGCCCTCGATGAATGGCGCACTTTTCTCATTTGATTGTAATTACCCAAGAAAAAGCAGCCTAATAAGGGTTAGGAGACACTCCCACAAGGAGCCAGTTGTGCTAGTATTTGTAGTATGCCTTCAATGAAGTTTATGAATCAGCAGAAGAAAGAGCCAGTTCCCATGGAGAATTTCTCTGGTTCTCCAACTACTTCTTGGAAGACAGTCCGAG